TCAAATGAAAGATATGGGTGAGACAGTTTATATACTTGGAGTTAAGATTGAAAGAGATCACTCCAAAAGGATGTTAGCCATGTGACAAGGTTAATACATCCAGAAACTTCTTGAAAGGTTTAGTATGCAAGATTGCAAACCTATTGATACTTCTATCACAGAAGGCAAAAATTTGAGTCAAAGAATGTGTCCTACGACTCCTGAGAAAATAGAGCTCATGAGAAAATTTCTTTACTAGAGTGCTATTGGAAGCCTCATGTATGTTTTGATGTGTACGAGACCAAATATCTGCTTTACCGTTGGCATGGTAAGCAGATACCAGTCAAACCCTGGCCAACCCCATTGGAAGGCTGTTAAGAGAAAATACTTCGGTATCTCAAAGACACTATGAATTATTCGATGTGCTACCAAGGAAACAATTCATAATTAGAAGGCTACTAAGACGCTGATTGAGGAGGAGATATGGATGAAAGAAAATCCACCTCAGGATATGTCCTCTTACTCAATAATGGAGCAATATCTTGGAATAGCAAGAAACAAACTTGTATAGCTTTGTCTATAATGGAACATGAATTTGTGGTACTTTCAACGACGGTACAAGAAGCAGTATGGCTTAAGAGATTCTTAAGTCATATGGGATTTAAAGAAAGTGCGCTTGACTCAGTATTGGTAAACTGTGATAGTCATGCTACTATAGCTTTCAGGAAGGATCCCAAATATCACTATAAGACAAAGCACATAGATATCAAATACAATTTTGTTAGAGATATGATTGCACAAAATGAAGTAAATGTGCAATATATATCAACAAGCAACATGGTTGTGAACCTCTTTACTAAGCATATTCCTAGAGATGTATTTAATAGCCACATTGAATCTTTAGGATTTCGAAGGCTTTAAGTTTGTATTTCTGATCAAATTGTATTGTGTATTTTAAACTATGAAATAAAGTTTTGTACTTTATTATGCAAACACACAGAAATGTTTAGTACATTTAATGAGAAGTATGTAGGATAGTAGATTGGCTCTCTCACACGAGCAATCGCTTCTATGACTGACTTGCATGTCAGTTAGAAATGAGATAATTTTAAGCAATTTTATTGTTGTAGTAGTACAATTGAAATATGAGAGCAAATGCTAGCTTAAAATGAGATATCGCATTGATATGTGATCAAGATGATGAGAACATATTATGATCGAAGGTGACAAATCTCATTATTTACTTTAAACTGTCTTTGAATGCCAAATGAAAATCCTGTTATCATTAGTTGATAAATTATTAAGGTAGAGTTGTCGACTCAAGTTAGATATTAAGTATATCTGAACTATCATCTATACAGTATTTAGTTGAGACATACACTCTAATGAGATAGAGTAAAATACTATAGCACGTGTTTCATGCCACGCGTGCACAATTTGACCACTAATGGTAGCTGAAGTTAATTTATCTCTACTTCTTTGTTGTGTGAGTCTCGTGAGATCAACAAATCTCCACAAGTACCCTATGACCTTTTGGTTTGAAAGTTTTATTGCAATGTTAGCTTTCTTAGGGAGGTTGTCAATGGTCATGAATGATTCGATCTAATGGGACCTACCTAGAAAGCAGTTCTTTGGAAATAGAAATCTTTTAGGATATGGAAGATCATTTCGAGTGTCACATTATAGTATATTCACAGGTCGACCAATTATATTTTTGTAATATAATTGTCAATACACACATATATAAAATTAATATTTCGAAAGAGATCATGAGTTGTGATAAATATGACTAAATGACTCTAGGGCACTTCATACTGACTCTACTCACTCATTCAAGTTACCTTACATATTTAACAGTTGTAAAGTGACTCGCTCTCGAAATTAAAGTATGACAGTCACACGGCTTGTTTTTCTTGTATGATTTTTTATGCTGGTGTCTCCTATTTTTTAGACATTAAAAGAGCCTCATAAGAAGATGGGACATAGTTTTTTTGTTGTTCGTCCATTTTCAAAGTACATTATGTGCGAATCGAAGATGTAGGATTTAATAAAATCCAAAGTTCAAATCGATTTGAATTTGAAAATGGGGGAGCAGTTGCTCCTCCCCCTAAATCTCTCCACTCTCTCACTATGTGTGTGTCATACGAGGTGTGTGGGTTACTCTTGAAAACATAGAGAGAATTCCTGGAAAACACAGAGAAAGAATTTGGCAGAGAGATTTTTTTCTTCTACCCGTAAGAACCTAGAGTTATGTTGTCTCAAAATTCCTCACCACCTAGGCGGTGAATCGTGAGATTTTTCCGTTCGTGATTCATTTCCGACCGCGACTTCGTTTTCGTGGATTCCGCTGCAACGCTACAAAACGTTAGCATTCTATCCCACGAAAAAACCCAACAATATTTGATTGCAAGACTCTCTTCAACTAAGGGAAAATAAAATACTTGATTGTCAGAAGTCATGTTAGGAAAAAGTAATAGATCAATCGATCCTCCTGTAAATTTTTTAAATATGAACTATTTGACTTTCTCTTTTCATAGGTTAAAAGCAGATAAGTAAGTAACAACAATATAAGGAATAAGATATATGGATAGAAAAAGCTTAACACTATAGAAATTATATTGGTTCGCCTCAATCTTAAAACTACGTCTAATCTTCTACGAAGGGGAGTTCTACTATATTTGGGAATATTACAATGGATCTCACTTAAATATCACAATACAATGACTATCTTACTCCTAAGTACCCTAATAATGGCTATCTATGATTACACAATTGAACATACCTTCACTAAACTCAACTTTTTTTCACACACTGCCTACAATCACTACAAGATAAATTTGTGTTTTCCCGACACAAGTTTTCCCGACGTTTTAAAATTCGTCGAATTAAGAGCCCTTTGCCAACGTTTTTGGTTTTGTCGGTAATTATCTGGGCAAAATCTAAAGTTTCGTCAGGAATATTCCCGACAATTGTAAATTCTGTCGGGATAAGTTCCGACGAAATTAAATTTTGTCGAAAATAAGAGGTTTTCTAATTCCGTCAGTGTAATCTTACCAACGAATATTTAAATTTCGTTGGGCTAAAGAGGTTTCCTAACGAAAGTTAAATGTCGTCGAGCTAAGCGTCCTATGTCGACGAATTTTACATTACGTCAGGATAGGGCTTTAAAAAGCCCTAAATAACAAAATTGAAATAGGCTCTTCATTTTGCGTTTGCGCTTGTGCCTCCCCCGTGCTGGTTTCGTACGCATATGCGCCTCATCCCCACCGTCGAATTCTTCTACGCCTCATTGCTGCCGTTGTTCGTTGCTACCGTTTATCTCAACCTGTTGTTGTCGTTCCTCTCTCTATTCAAATACCAACGCCAAATATCCAAATATCCTAATCCTTATAAGGAAGCAATATCCTACTCTCTGTAGGAACTCATAGTAGTGTTGAAATTCTTTTTCCTCGTAGGACACGGGTCTCTTGTTTTAGCTTCATTATCCCAACAAGTCATGGCAACAAGACCTATTCCTTTTTCATCTCCAAGGACCACCCCGACTTTGCTTGTCTATTTCTTTGATTCACACACAGCGTCAATGTTAATTTCAATGTATCTTTGAGGAGGGCGCCATTGAATTTCTCGCTCTCTTACTGAATTTGTGCCAAGGTTGATGAGCCCTATATTGCAGCCACTGTTATTGCTGCTAGCTCCACCCAGTAACTCAGTTTAGAGTTATGCTTTAGGTTGACATCGACAGTAGGAATGGCAAACATATCCACGGGACGGAATCACACCAGGGATCCCAATCGGACTCCCCGACGGGGACGGAGGAAGTCCCCTGCCCTGACCCCATCCCATTTAATATTTTATTAGTATTTATATTTTTATATATAATAAATTAATAATAATAATATATATTAATTTTTATACTACTTTTATAATTTGTTTAAAATGATGTCCAATGCCTCAAGTCCAATAAAATATTCATAAGTCTTTAGAAAAATTAAAATTAAACAAATAATAATAATAATAAAGTTAGGTCGGAACGGTTCCCCGCAGAGACCCCATCCCCGATCAGGGATTCCCCACCTCCAAATTTTTGGGGATGGGGTAAAAATCCCCAACGAAGCGGGGATGGAGATACCCCAGTCCCGCTTCGCCCCATGGACATCCCTGATCGACAGTGCATGTTGTCATTCCAGGTGCTTCACCAAACAAAACAAGCAAGTCAGAAATATATTTGTGTGCAACCTCTATCTTATAGAGAGCCATCGATCATAGAAACTTAGACTAAGATCATAGTCCTATACAATTGCAAGTCGAACACAAGTCCAAATCTCCTTCGATCTTTTGCAACCAAACAATAGGCAATCTGATAATACATACATCTCTCTATCTAGTAATTTATTCATATTAGAGAGGTAATTTTAGAACGCTCTCCGAAAACAAATTTTATTTTCTGAGAAATCTTTAGTTTCCAAAAGTGGTTCTACTTTCATGCATGGCCATCCATAAATTTAATTGCTTTTGTACCTTCACCTTCTCGTCGAGGTCATCACAAAATTAAAGACCAAACTTGAAGTTGCTTTTCTATCTTCACAATGTGATCATAGATTGCATGTTTGAGATAAGGAGTTCGAAAGTTAAACTTAATAATTTGGCTGGTGTTCTATTGTTGATTCTTTTACGCATTATTCTCCCTCTATGACTTATGCTAATTGGAGAGTGTTTATATTAGACATATTTTATTTCTTTTTATTTTTCACTATCTTGAGAATTTGTATCCTGAACACTTGTATTATCTTTTCATTTCATTTTATTCAATGAAAAGTTGTATTTTTGTTCAAAAATGTTAAACTTAATACTATATTTAATTTGAGATCCTAGTTGCAATTAAACATAATATTAATTATCTTAATAGTTATGAAAACAAAAAGCTATTCCACTTCCACATTACTGAGTTATATGATTCCTTTTTCCTAACTAAAAAAAAAAAAAAAAAAAGAACATTGGTGAAAGTAATGAAAGAATTCATAAAGCATCTAATGATTTAACACATTTAGAACAGAGAATTTTGTTATAGAACCGGGAATGGTGTGGCTTGTTTCCTGGAGAAAATATGGTTAATTCCCCAATTTTATGGATCAAAATTGATAAATAAATTATTTCTCTGGAAACTAAACAACAAAAACCAGAGGAAGGATCCAGAGACTAAAATAAAGAAGAAAAAAGGGATGATGAAGTAGAAGAGTTTGATGAGGTACTAAATGAGGGCTTGAACACCAAACTGCTGCATTTCCCTAACTCTCCAAATGGCATGAGGAGCTCCCTCTCCAACTTCTTCAGGATCCAACATTTGCATAGCCCATGCATAATATACAGTGTGGATAGTGTCCTGTCACAACAATAACACACTCCATTTATCAGCTCAAATTTCATGCAAAAATCAATATAAAATCAATCGTTAAAACTCTCTTGATTCCCCTCCACAGGAAATCTATTCTTTTACTCCCCGAGATTACAGCGATCTTCCTTGGGCTATATGCAAGTTCAAATTTGATTTTTGCTTCTTGAGAGCGTGAGTCTTGCGTTAAATGTCGCAGATAAAAGAACTTTGGATTACAGAATCAGAGGATCTCAGAGATCTATTGGAACTTTTGTCAATGGGATAGATGACCAAAGACTTCGAAAGCTGCATAGTCCAGGGCAGATTTAAGTGAAGCCCTTGGCTTGAACCCTCATCTGTAATCGTCTTTACTATTGAACGAGCTCTTCCTAATGCAATCCGTAAGGTTGGAATTCCAAAAATATGAACTTTATCTAGACATTATGTTTCAGGATAGAGGGATAGTGTAGAAAAAATCCTGTCTTTTTTCCTCAATCCTTGTAGAAATGCAGAGAAAAGCCAGGACACCAGATCTTCTTAAACCACTATTACAATAGATGTTGGAATTGATTCTAGTCTTAACCTACACTGGAACTTTGGCTTCTACAAAGGAAAATTTATCTTATTCTGAATATAATTTCGAAAGGAATAAAAAGGCCAACATCATTTGATTAGAAACAGGGTGGAGTGAGAAATAAATGAAAAGGTCTTCAATGACAATACCCGAGATTGGGAGGAAAAATAAGAAATAACTAACTTCATCTATTGATTTTGAAGTCCTTTATCTCCACCTTAGAAATACTACCGAGATGTAACTAATACAAACTGGGAGATAAGGAAATAGTGGGTGGTAGCTAGCTCTGATAGTATCCATTCTGTTTGGGGCCTCATGCTAACCCTTGTTTGTATCCATTTTGTTCTACTTTTTACGAGAAGTATATCGTGTTTTTTTAGAAATATATATAACACCTTTTCTTCTCTGGATAGTATATGAAACTCCCTTTATTAAATACCAATATCTTGATCCATCCATGATCATAAATGTAGAGCCCAAGTTTGAAGATTGCATGTTCTACTGTCCTAAAAGCCTAAACTCTGGTCCTGTTTCCTTTTAGAAAATAGGAAGAGGAATGAAAATCATTCTCATATTCCCATTTTTTCGCAAAGGACACATATTCCCATTCTCATGAAACAAGATATGATTCCTCAATCCTGATTTGTGAGCCTCACACCAAATTATAAAATCATTTCCACTGTTCATATTGCTCCTATTACCCTTTCTTTTGTTTATTTTTTCTTCTCTCTACTTCTCTTTATGGGTCCCACACATCAATTCCATTTTGATTACAAATTCAAGCATCCATAAAAATCAATTTTTCATCTACATTTTATTTTTTATTCCAAAATAAGATTGGTAAACACCATTAGAAATTTCGTTTTCATTCAACAATTTTTTAGTCGGATTTATTTTCATTCTCGTTCTCTCCCATCCAATTCTCATTAAGTGAGGTGCATTAATGTAAGCAGATTTGTAACAGGGAAAGCATCACTCACCTTCCCACCTTCCCTTATTGACCCATGTGCGTCACGTACACAGTAGACCTGCTGCGTTTGGAACTGTGAAAATTAAATAAAAAGGAGCTGTAGAATCATTTTGTCCTACAAGAAAAAAAAATTCCAGAACAATAGAAGAACAAAGACTGTTAGAGCGTACAGCTACAATGATGATCGGAGTGCTGCCCATCATCTTGGTCTCCCGTACTTCAACCTCTGAAATGTGCAAAATCTGTTTTCTTACAAGAAATTAGTACTCATACAAGAAAACCTTAAATCAATTATAATCCAGTTCACTTATCAAGACATGTACAAACCTCTAAGTTGATACTAAGCACGAGCCAGACAGTAACAGTGCTTTTCAGAGTGCTTTTAGCAAATTACTCTAACTAAAAACACTTGAGTAAAAGGTGCTTAACACATCACCATGGTCCACAATGATCAAACTGCTCTTGGGTGCACACAAATCACTTTGGTGTTTGGTTCTACAATCATAAAAGTGATCTTGAGTGCTTGGAGTGCCTTTGACTTTTTCGAAAAAGTATTTTTATATACTCACAATCGTTTCAAAAAGAAAGGCAGTGAAAGTGGATTAGCATTGGCAAATGTAAGTGAGGTTCCATATTATTAGGAAGTTATTATTCTGTTAATTTGGAGAAAGGCGGGAGAGGGGAGTGAAGGGGATAAAAGGAAAAATATTAGAGTAGAAAGGTATCAGTTGTTTAACTATTATTTAGAGAACAAGGCTCTCTCACCCCCCTACACCCCACCCCCGGAAGTAAACTGTCCCTCTCGCCCCTCTTCTCTATCTCACTCTCTACCTGCCTCCTCTCATCAAACCACCTTAGAATAATTTTCATCTCATTTTATCCCATGTAGTACAATGCCTCCTACAAGTATGGAGATCTAGTCTCCTCTCATTTAGGCATATATTATTAGGTCAACATTCTATTTCAATTGACCATCAGCATAGCATTTCTTACCCACCACACAAACACAACTAGCAGAAAAATCAGTCTCCAAGTGGAGAGGGAATGTTTCCATATTAATACAGTATTCGTTTGGAGTATTGAAGGTTCCAAAAACAAATTTTATGAGATACAGAGCTTTCATGGAGAAATATGAAACACTGCCCAACAAGAGGAACCAAGCCAAGACTAACTATACAATAAAAGTTCCAATCGAAAAGAATCATTGAGGATAAATGGTACAAACGTGGGAAGAGGGTACCCCAAGGGACTATTACCAAGGAATCCTCCCAAATGTAAGCATTCAAGTCATCCCCAATATAGCATTTAACAAATCAAGAGAAGAAACGAAGGCTAGAAGAGAGAGCTTTCCAAGGGTTCCTAAATGTGCTTTCAATCCACAACAGCAACCCAAAGCCCACTCAAAGGAATGAGAGCCATATTCGCTCGCAATAACCCTGAGCTCATAACTGTTTAGCCAACTAAGCTTCATTTCATAGTCCAAAATTACCTAGGCCCAAAACCCCAAGTCCAACAGTCTTGTCACCACCTACCAATTAACCAAATAAGAACCCCCACCGTTATCAACTCCTTACCACAAAAATTCTCTCATAAACATCTCAATAATCTTACTCACTGAAACCGGGATCCTGACTAAATAAAATATAAATAAATACATTTGTATCATTTCAAGATGCAAAGGCTTCTAATGTATCCACATCAAGGTGATGCAGCACTACAAACTTAATTTCAATGGAAAGTCGACTCTATGCTGAGGAGAAGGAAGATGGTTATTCAATAATATAAGAGAACAAGGTATTTAATTAACAGAAGTACAAACCACAACAGTAAGAAATAGATTTCGTAACAAAAGAATAGTGTTCTGACGATATATCCTTACCTTGTTATCGAAGAAGATAGCTTGGCTTTCATAAGCCCGATGCTCCGCTTTACAACGTTCTATCACCTCAGCACTACAATATTTCTTTAAAGTTTCAGAATCTCCCTGTAACATAAGAATTTATTATGACTCGAAAACCTCAATAACAGGAACTCAACTCATTTTAATCATCAAACCAAATGCTATGCAAGAATGCCAAGAATTAATTACAAGAAAATAGAACAGAAATAGTTATGACGTTCCTTGGTGAGGGGGAGAAAAGTTTATTTCAGCTATACTAAATAAGCTTAGCACCAATGAAATATTTGTTTCATACCCAAAAAAAAAACTAAATAAGCTTAGCACCAACCTTTATGTAAGAAGTCAACACTGGTTTGATTGCTTCTTGAACTTCGGCTACAAAATCTGGTAAAGAAAAGTACCTATTCCACAGAGTTGAAGAGAAAAATATCAAATCAAATTCCCTAATTTAAACAGGTTTAAGTATCAAAGTCTTAAAAATCTTACGGATCTTTGCGACGAATTTCCTTGAATGAAGTAGCAGCATCTGATTCTTGAAATACATTCTCATTTATGCTGAAGGAAATAGGATAAATATTTGAAAATTTTAGCTACAATTAGATAGAAGAACATAGAACTATGTCAGAAAAACAAGAGCAGATCAGAATAATTTAGGATACAATCGTGGACAAAAAAACAAATACGCCATCATCAAGATCACAACTCAAGCAGCCAATTATAATTTTTTATAAGAACTCGAGCATCCAATTCTTTTTTTTTTTTTTTAATAAGAACTCAAGCAGCCAGTTTGACCGTAATTTGACTTTCAAGGCACTCTTATTGTTACACGGACCCATGCCCTTTTAAGTTATAGAAGTATAGTTTTTCGTAGCTTTAGTAGCCTTGGAAAGAGTAGTTTCACAGGCATCACCTTTTAGATTGGATAACTGTAATTGGTGGTAAATAGTTGTCATATACAGGCATCCTGCTTCCATCATTGATAGACGTGTAAAACATAGTATGCATGTACAAGCATCCTAGGTAGTCCAAGTCCAAGAAAGTTAAGTTGTTACAAGAGTGATAGACTTTGATAATGTCCATCAGTCTATCACTTACATTTATCAACATATACGTCTATTAGTGAGACTAGAAAACTGTGCTATATTTGCAAATATTTTTAGCTTGTGCTAGATTTACTATTATTTTGGACCAGATTGCTTCATGTGCAACCGCTCCTTTTAGATTTAACTAGTTAGCATTTACGTGTGTTGCACGTGGCTTGTAATGTTTAAAAATATTTTTTAATTGGCAAGGTTTAAAAATAATCCAGTAAAATAAATAAAATAAAATAAAATAAACATACATTTTCAAATATACTATAATAAATTTTGAAATAAATTATGTTTTTTTAACTTGGAGAGCTCAAACCTGGATCTTGTCAAAGATTAATTATGTTATAGTTTGTTTAATAGTTTTTTTTAATAAAAAAAAGTACAGCATTTTAAGTAAAAAATATATATAAAACAATAAAAAGGTCAAATGGAAGGTATTTAATATATTCTAAATTCCAAATATTTAATGTTATAAAAAATTTCAATTAAATTTAATTACATAAATTTAAAAATAAACAATTAAGTTATCTGTGTTTATCAAGATAGAATAAACTAAATTAAAAGATTCAAATAGTCATGACATTTATTAGATAGTTAAAATTAGAATTAAATATAAGGGGGGAAAGGGAAATTTAAAAATTTCTTCCTCTTTTAAGTCACTTTAAAAAATTGAAAAACTAAAAGACTTTCCTACATTTAAAGAATAAATGTACACAATATCATATTTTTAAAACAAATAAAAAAATAATTAGAAAATAGGTTTAAAATATATATATTTGGTTCCCGATACTTCACTAAAGTAACGATTTAGTCCGTGTAGTTTAAACTTTTACCCAATAAAGTAAATAAATTTTAGTATATAACAATTTAATTCATGTAGTTTAAAATTCTTAAATGGTTTAGTCTCTCATAAGAAAATCATGTCATTAGGGGCTTATGTAGATTCATAAATCATTCCGGGACTAAGTTTCTACATATTAAAAATCGATATTTCACATTGACAAGATTTTCTATGATAGAGACTAAATCATAACAAACTTAAAATTACAATGACCAAATTATTGTGCATTCAAGTTCAAGAACAAAATCATGACAAATTTTCAAATTTAGGGGCTAAATCATTGTCATTACATAATAAAGTTCATAAATTAAATCAATTTATAAATAAAAGTACAATGACCAAATGGTTAATGAACCTAGAAAATACGATCTATCGATTTCATTCACATCATACCATCACAAATAATAATGACTTTTTTTAAAACAAAAATGTTTATCCGATTTTGTAGATGAAGTCATTGTAAATTAAAAAAAAATTGTAATGTATAGTTACATGATGCATCTACCAAAATAATATTTTGTCTTAGAAAAGATTATGATTTTAAAAATAAATAAAGGATAAAATAGGAATAATACAAGAGATAGGGCAAAATAAAAATATAAAAAAAAATGGATTTGTGAAAAATAATAAATAAATAAAAACTAAAAACAATTACAATAAAGTAATTATTTAATTATAGAATATAAATGGGCAAAACAGAGAGCGAAAGTTTCTCCCCTTTGCCACTTTTAGGGGTATATATATAAGATAGATAACTAATGACCTGTGGCGCTCAAGCCATTGGTTACAAAAAAGAAAGGGAGTGCCAAGCCAAAAAAGACATACTTGGAAAAGCGCTTTGAGAGAAGAAAATTGAAAGGTAAGATTGTACCAATGAAAAGTTTTTTGGTTTCCAATCAAAAAAAAA